AGCGCCGCACCCTCCCGAGTGCGCCACGGGCTTGGCCCTCATTTATGATTTTTAAATAACGAATTACCAAGTATTCACTTGGTTTCCTTTACTTACCGAGACAACGTTGTTTTCCCAGAACCAGGCAGACCTCTTAAAAGAATAAGTAACTTCTGCAATTTATTTAACTTTTCTTCTTGAAACTGCTCATTCACAAACATGTCTGTGCCATTCTGCTTGTCCACAGGAGGATCTTTCCAGCATCCTTCTCTGATTTCACAGAAACTATTATTCACATACCCATCTTGAACCCTATAGCCATTTCTAGAGGGATCAACACTATTACTATTCTCACTACGGTCAGTATATTCATTGTTATGATCAAAAGTCAGACAACTCCAGTTAACGGGACAACTTTTTACATAATATCCATTCCGCATCTGAGAATCATCTCGGGCATTGAAAATATTTGACAATGGATTTGGTGGAGCACTCAATCTTTGAATATTTAAATGATGGTTAAGTCTGGGGAAAGGTGGCCCATGGGGTACTATAAAAGGATGCACTGATTGCCATTCAGGCCTGAGGGAAGTAAATGAAATGTCACAAAATGTAGGTATTACTTGTCCATTACAGGGATATTTGCCTGGCTCATTCCCCATGTACTGTTGATAACCACAATGTGACTGAAGAGCATTACTAAGATCTTTCTTTTTTTCATCAGATTTTAAGAGATCATTATTATGGCCTTGATAATGTAGAGTAAGTTGTTCCTGGGAAGGTTTGGGTTCCTTACAACTGCCTTCTAAATCATCTTTTTCATTTTCGAGCTCTTCAATTTCTTTGTAAAATTGGAATAATTCATTGTCTATCTTTGATTTTTTGGAATTTAATTTCTGTTTCTCTTCTCGCCTTCCTTTGCCACTTATACCATTGAGAGTGTCTGCCTCATTCTTCTTTTTATTACATTTCTTTTTTTCAGGGGGTTTATAAATGGGTCCTATAAATGCTTTACTTGTGCTATATATCTCATCATCTGTGGATACTAAAGGAGGACTTGCATCTTGTAAAACTTGTGAATCAACAACACCTGGTCTATTACCAGGCATCTCATCATGTGAAGGTTTCAGCACATCTGTAGTTTTGGTTTTGTCCTCCTGAGGATAACTATGTCCTCTGACATCACTGATGGTGACAGGGACCCAATCATTTCCAGTTTTCTCTTGGATTCTGTGAAAATCAGCACTACCATGATGGGGGAAAACATTTGCCTCTGCAGTTGACTTATATTTTTTATAGCATGGTTCACTTGTTAGTACTTCTCCAGGTCCCCAGAATTCAGCTTCAATTTCACCATAAGGCATCTGAGGAGTAAATAAATCATACAATTATTAGCTTACATTTTAAGAATCTAAATAAAATTTCTTTATAAACAAGAAATTAGAAAAAGACATTTAAATCCGTGATATAAGGGCTGAGCCCTTGGCGCACTCGGGAGGGTGCGGTGCTGGGAGCGCGGGAGCGCTCCCGCCGCGGGTTCGGATCCTATATAGGGATGACCAGCGCGCTCACAGCGCTCAC